TCTTTCTCTCCCATCTCTCTTTCAGCTAATTTCTTGAGAGAGAGAGAGGGCCCCTGCCAAACCTCTCTCTTTCTCTCCCAACTCTCTTTCAGTTATTTTCTAGAGAGAGAGAGAGGTGGGGTTTTAGAAAAGAATAGACATGGATGTGTTTCTTACTTTTGTTTAGGCTAAAAAGGGGTGGTCAAAAGGGGTAAAGTTGGTCCAGGGGGTTAGAAGATATACTATGTGAGATCTCTATGCCGCCAAAGATGTTTTCAAACCCTGGGTCTGTTGACAAATAGAACCTCAAAATAGAGTGTACGGAGATATTTTGCCTAAAAAATAAGTTTAACAAAGATACATATGTTACAGATTCCACTCTAATGCAAAATCGATATATTGTATACATATGGACCCGGTTTCTATGAGGCCAAGACATATGTAGAAATGCGGGCCTCTTTATAAATCTATTTTTGAGATGGATTTCAAGACAATTTTTAAGTACATGTAATCTCTAACATGGAGATCATGAATATGAAAAACAAATAAATTTTAAAAACTAGAAATAACAATTCCAGTAAGAAAACATTTGGACCGTTAGTTTTCATTGTTTTTAGATGGAACACCTACTTGCATCAATCTTTAAGATGGATGCTTTACACTTTCTGGACCGCATATGTAGAAATGTGGTCCAGCCCGCATGAAACAATTTTTCGCATATATATACACACGCAACAACACATATTATGCAAATAAGTGTATGAGCAAGCAAGAAAGGGGGACCATGTACACCATTCCCTAAGTTTCTCTCTTTATATTTTTTTCATAACATGAGATGAAAAGGAAGGTAACATCTAGTACGCCCACACAATACCATGCATAGTTTTTTAACTTTGCACTCCCCCACAGACTCTTGCACCAACTCACTCACAAATCCAGCTTTAACCAATATTAAAGCTACAAAACTTAATGACCAACTGGATACCAATACTTAATCATCACTCATTCATCCTAACAGCTTCATTTAAATGATTTAAGCAATCAATAGATCCAAAGCCAAAAACTACCCAAAAACCTTATATGATATTCCTATTTCCACGACATCTAAGAAGCCCTCTAGCATGTCCCCTAAACCGTTAGATCAACATAACAATTTCATCCACAGAGGAAATGCGGTCGGGGAATTGGTGGTTAGGGGGGCAGGTGCCACAACATAACATCCTTGGCTCCATTTCAACCATCAACACTTTCCAAAAAAAAAAAATCTCATCCAAACATAGTTGTCACCAAACGCCATCTAATGGCTGAAAGTATCTCCTTTTCTAGTTGACAAGTCTCTTGTATGTTACCAGCAGTTCTTTCTACTCTTCTTCTTCCCTTTTTTTTTCTCCTGCACCCCCCCCCCCCGCCCCCCCCCCCCTTCAAGTGTGTGGGGCTTTGGACTCTTAATGGTGACCTCTATAATAAAAACGAGTGTTCACAATAGGCAAGGTCCTAAATATGCAATCAATTGATTTAAACACATTAAAACAAAAAGCAAAAACCTTCATCACTGGTGAAGGAGGAAAGATATGAATGAAATTGATAGTTTACATCAATAGTGCTTTTTCATGTGTGCACGTGTGTGTAACAAATAAAAGACAGAGAGAAAGTGTGAGCTCCGTTTGATGAAGATGATGGACAAGCGATGTCAAAAAAAAAAAGCGAGAGATGGGGAAAAAAACTACTTGAATGAAAGACCAAGAGACTGTTCACCATCCTCAAATATACGCTTGAAGGAGTCTTTAAACACAGGATGGCCAAAACTTTCAGCTAAAACAACTAGGCCACCAGTCCTTTCCACAGCAACTTTCATTTCTGCAACACCAACCTGAAAATATTGCACAACAAAGATTTTAAGAGTCATGATATCATTTTCAACACAAAAGCTGTATACAATTTGCAAAATAAGAGAGGTGCACAAAAAATCAAGTATGCAATAAACTCACACACAAGAATTCTACAAAAGCAGAATCTATCTTAACTCGAAACAGGTACGAGTATGGGTATCACAAATGGGGCCGAGATGTCAGATACCGCATATCATGAATAACAGTATGCAGCGACACATAGTGTGCACAAGATGATGTCACTCACATCCTCATGCATATATGATAAGACAAAAGAAATTCCACCACAGATTATTAGTAATTCATTCATTTGAAAAAGTACCAAGGCAAAGACACTGGTAACCCAACAAGGAAAAAAAATCTATTGAGACTTAGTAGCCTTTAACATGCAATCCAACTAGATCTTCCATGTAATATCTCTTTCCTTTACAAGAACTAATATTCAAGTCTAGGTCAATGACATAATGTTTTACCACAACTAATTTAACTCATCAAATTTTCTCAGAAAGGGGTAAAATAATTCAGAAGAATCAGTATTCATATCATGGTCAATATGTGCCTGGCACCAGTATAGAGCCATTTTCTCAATTCACACATTAAGACTTAGCTGCCTTTGACATGTGCATCCAACTAGATCTTCCATGTAATGTCTCTTTCCTTTACTAGAACTAACATTCAAGTCTAGGTCAATGACATAATGTTTTTTTTTTTTGAGAAAAAAGGTCAATGACATAATGTTTTACCACATAATTTAACTCGTCAAACTTTCTCAGAGAGGGGTAAAATAATTCAGAAGAATAAGTATTCATATCATGGTCACTATATGCCTGGCACCAGTATAGAGCCATTTTCTCAACACAAGATTTCCTCAGGACATTTACCAATTTAATGAGCAAGTATTATCATTGGGAGATGCCAGTTATACACAAGATTCTTCCCAAGTGATGGTATAAGATCATACAAATCAAATCACAACTCAAAGCACTCTACTCGCCATCAGAACATTAAAGAAAGCCAAAATGATGTAAAGAACAGAAGTGAATACTTGTAATGAAGCCCAGGTACCTCCAATTACCAGGTTGTCAAAACCAACCACGCCAGTTACAAAGCCAATGTTATCTTAAATTCCCAAAATCATGACAACTTAGATTAAAGTACCCCCTCAAACTCACAAATACTCCCCATTGGGTTTTGTTCAAAATATCCAATAATGCAATGACAGAGAGGTTTATTATTATTCGTGTTAGAAAAGCTTGCCATGGAGAAAACGAGAGAGAGAACAAGAGAAAACCCCCTTGATATCTTTCTTGGGGATGCATGCCACTCTTATTACGTATACTAGTAAGATGCCCCTGCTTTGCAGGTCTCATCAAAAGGTTATAAAATTATATTAATAATCGATTATTGATATCAATATTATGAGAGGTAATATATTAAATTAGAAATATGAGTATGTCTCTCTCTTTACACTGAATATTAGACATAAGCATAGCAAAATAAGTAAATTATTTGTGATACTTAAAATAACATAACAAAGTAAATTAGAGATGACATCACAATTTTTAATATTATAACAATTACTATACTTTCAATTATTGTAATAAAATGTATTGATAGATTACATAAAAACATAGAACAGTTACATATAAATTTATATAATTGCCATCATAATAATAGGCTAGATTAATAATATTTAGTTAAAATTTTAACAATACGCCCTAATGATCATATTTCTTACTAATGAAACTATAATTAATATTTTATAATAAATGAATCACCATCATCATCATCATTATCATCATAATAACGAGCCTTATCCCAACTATTTGGGGTCACCTATAAGAATCTTATTCTACTATTCTACTCTATCAAGGGGTCATACCTTCAGTGAGACCATAAGTCACCATATATCTTCTCACTTCTTCCTTCCATGTCCTTTTGGGTATTTCCCTTGCCTTTTTAGAGCCTTCCACTTGAACCAAATTGCCCCTCCTAACCGGTGTTGTATTAGGTCTACATATTATAAGTCTACTTTCCTCATCATACGCCTATTGAAGCCACCATTAAGTTCCCTCGTATGTATTCATTTTGAATTCTATCCTTTCTAGTCTTGCCACTCATGTATCTCAACATCCTCATCTCAGCTATACTCATCCTATTAATATGTTGTTTCTTGACCACCCAACATTATGTTCCACAAAGCATGGTTGATCATACAACTTCCGCTTCAATTTCATTGGTATAAACTCCATATGCGCGTTCTACTTCACGACCCAACTCTCATTCTATGTGCAACATCTTCCTCAATCTCTCAATTATCTTGGATTATCGACCCAAGATATCGAAACAATCTCTTTTAGGTATTTCTTGGCCATCAATCTTAACTACTTCCTCGTTCCTACTCCTATAAATAATAAACAAATAATTATGTAAATGTTAATTGTGATAAACTTGTAACAAAAACGTTTCTCCATTTTATTTTTATAATTATCGAAGTCTAATTATTATTTGTATACACATACTAACCGCAAGACACATCAAATCAACTTCATCAGAAAACGCATATTCCATTTTGAATATATGGAAGGCATAAGTTGTCAAATATAAAAGAAGATTCTCTAACTCTAAAAAGATACACAAAGTCATCATCGTCATCGTCAAAGCCTTTTCCAAACTAATTGGGTTCGGCTACACAAATTCTGGTCCACCATTCCGCTCTATAAAGAGTTATACCCTAAGTGAGGCTACAAATCCCCATATCTTTCCTCACTACGTCCAACCATGCCCTTTTGGGCCTACCCTTGCCCTTTTTGAGCCTTCCATTTGAACTAACCCGCACCTCCTAATGATACACAAAAAAGTGTTTCAAAAAGCGTTATGCGGCACCTAGGCGGTCGGAGGGGTTCAGGCCACCCAGTGCCTAGGCGGGGCACCTTGAACCTAGGTGGCCCAATAGAATTCATTTTTTTTTTTTTGGGTTTTCTCTCTCTAAAATAGCCTCTAATGGGTTTTAGGCTCCAAATGAACCTAAAACCCACAATTTTTCCCCTTTAGTATTAAAAAAATGACTCAAAAATAATCTCAAGGAGCCGCATTTCTGCCCCTGGGCAAAGCGCAAGCCCTATGTGGCCGCCTAGGCAGGTTCAGGCAAGCGCCCAGGGATATCCATGTAGTTTGGCTGCCTAGGCCTGGGCGCGCCGCCTAGCCGTTGGGTGGTCCGTTTTTTAAACTATGACACAAGTCATATGGAGAACAAAAGAAGAGAATAAGGCAATCAATAGGAGCCAAGCAAAAACCGCCAGCCTGATATCCTTTATCAAAATCTATCCCAAAATATTCCTTTAAGATACGCTCCAAAAAAAAAAAAAGTGATCCCCTTTAAGATACGGATAAAGATAGCAGGCAACAAGAGGCACCATTTAGATTCCTCTATCTGTAACTCTAATCGAATCAAGACCCTCGTAGCTTTTATAAATAGGAGAATGCAAGCTAGAATGCCAATCTTGTCTCTCAACTCCTCTCCCATTGATTTCTCTCTCGTTTCCTCTCCTTTGCCCTCAAGTGTTCTATTATGTAACTCCTATATGTTATCTTTATATTAGAAAGAGTTTGTATTCAAGTGTCTGCGCAATATTATCTACGAGTTGTAATCAGCTCCCCTTTGCTAAGCAATAGTTTTTTATATAAGTTTATACTCTCAGTAACTTTGTACAGACACTCGAATACAGACTCTTTCTAATATAAAGAGAATAGATAGGAGTGACAGAATAGAACTTCAGAGGACAGGAGAGAGGAGATGAGAGAAAAGTCAGAGGGAGAGGAGATGAGAGATAGGCTTCAAGAATTGACGCCCTCATTCTAGCTTGCATTGTCTATGTATATCTTTTCAGGAAATCTTCTTCTTTTAATTTAAAAATTTTGTTTTACACGCATCCAAGATGGAATCTACCTTTTCTTATAAACTCGATTTGACGTGTTGTGTTGAAAAGGATAATAGATGGAATACTAAATTAATTTTTTTAATTTATTAATCAGTCCCATCCATCTCTACCCTGGAACCATACAAAGTCTATTGAATGGGCTCTATGCATATCATCATTGTTTTTATTATTTTTTATAAATAATAAAAAACAAATAAGAACATTCAAATAGACTCAACAGATGAAAAGCCTAAAATTATTGATGAACATGATACAAATACATCAAAATTTGAAACTAAAATGAAGATTTTCTTTTTAAAGAAACTAAACATGAAAAATGTTGTCACCAATGTTGTATTAATGTTTTAACTACAGAATGAAGTTACTAAAACATTTAGGAGACTTTAAAGAAAATAAAAAATTAAAATCCTTATTAGAAAATAAGCAGTTTTATGATTTTCAAGGTATCTTAAAGATAGCAAATTTAAAAGGAAAAAAGAAAGAACTTTCATTAAGCGAAGTAAATAGAAAAACAAATAAAACAAAGCAAGAAATGAACCAACACAAATGGTAAAACTCTTATAAGAAAAAGAAAACCCTTCTACTTCAAAAACAAAAGAAGATTTTAAATACACTTCAAAATACAGAGATGGCATTCTCTGGTAACTATAAAGATTCACCATCATCGCCCTCATCTGAGCCTTTATTAAACTATTTGGGATCGGCTACATGAATTCCACTCTATCAAGGACCATACTCTCATTGAGACCATAGCTACCAAATCAGGGAATAGCAAAATATCGACAGAACAAAAACTCAATAATAAATCGGTTTTATTTCAAAAAGTCAGAGGAAAAAATCGGGTCAAAATACAGATCACCAAAAAATAATGTATATTTTAAAATCATGAATATCTCATATTTGGTTCAAAAAAACGTAGTGAAAAATTGGATATGTAAAGATGACACAATATATGATTATGATTTGCAGCTTTGTATAGATATATTAAAGCCATTAAACAATAATTATAGCCTTACTAGTGCCATCAGAGTAACATTTGA